AGTTTATCTTACTAATAATAGTAAAGAGTATACTATTACTTAAGTTCTTAACTTATACTTATATAATATAATAAATAATTTCTATATAAGCTATTATAGTTATTTATAGTATAAAGTTAAGTAGATAAGTAATAATTAGTTAATATATTAGTAGCTATACTTTAATCTCTATAGTAGTAAGAAATCTATTTAGAATTTCTATAATTATAATTTTAATAAGCTAGAATCTTATAATATATTTTATATATATAATAACTATAAAAAGCTTATAGTTATCTTACTCTATCTATTAGACTTTATATACTTAGAAAGAACTAGCTAGTTATTTATAAATTTACTTAACTATATTATATATATTTATTAAGGTAATTATAATATATATCTTTACCTAACTTTAACCTCTATAGATATTCTTAGCTCTAAGGTAATATTATATTACTCTACTTAAAACTATATATTCTTACTTATTATAGTATTCTCTATATAGATACTCTAGCTTATTAAAGGTTATATACCTTTTTATTACTATCTCTAGTTATGTATACTTCTACTCTTATTACTATATTCTTCTTCTACGCGCTACGCTACTTAGGCTATAACTACGCTATCTATATTATTATTACCTACTTATAATTTCTTTTCTATTCTAGACACTTAGTTAGAACTTTAAGCGTTCTAGCTAGAAGCTATATAATAGTTTAGTTTCTAGGTATTAGATCTATAATAGGCTAATAACTCTATATATATATAATTACTTTTAAGTACTTCTTTTAAGTCTTACTATAATAATATTATAATTTAATATAATATTATTATTTAATCTTTATATAACTCTTATATTTAGAGATAGTAGCGCTAAAGCTTTAAGCTTTAGCTTAACGCTATATCTTTAAGAGTAAATAAAAGATTTAGTTATATATTCTTTAGAGTACTAGTAATAGTTCTTACTTTTTTAGAATTAGTAGCTCTTTAAGCTATAAGTATTACTACTTAAGATTTAAATTTCTACTTAATAATACTTATAATATAATTTAGCTAATAAAGTAAAAGCTTTTATATAAATTTTAATAAATAAATACTAATTATATTATAAAAGACTAAAAGATAGTAGCTTAGTTAAAAGATAAGAAAAAAGCTCTTACTAGGCTTATTAATAATCTTCTTAAGAAAGATTATATTCTTAATAGTAATAATTCTAAGTTTATACTAGGTACGTCTAATTACTCTCTACTAATTTCTTATATTTAGCTACCTACTAGCATAAATCTACAAATCTAATGCATTTCTTATTCTGTTTCTCTAGACTGCAGCATGTTACATTCACCTCCCCTGCACCTGCCCGATGCGGACTCGGCCTAGTCTCGGCCAAGCACTAATGGCTCGGACGCGATCAGCCACGCGCTTTCTCCTTATTCGCCGGCATGCAACCGTCGTGGTTCCCAATCTAGTCGATCGACATCCTGCCTTGCCTTTCACGCATGTTTGCTCCGGGCGTAGAATATGCAACGTCTGAATCGTCCCGTGCCGGACGCCGATGCGCTGCAGGTACCCCAGCGACAACGTCGGAAACGTTGTTATGCGTCCAAGGGAGCTGGATAAACGGCCAATTGGTGGTGGTATATCAAGGCATGTGCGCTGTTTGTGTGCTCTCCACGGTTCTGCTCGTATCGCGCTTTTGCTAGTCTCTATCGTGAACTTCCCCATTGGGATTGAGAGAGACTTGAGGACTCAGTGAGCACGATATCGGGAAGAGCCGTACGATACTGAACACGCCGAAGACTTCGTATAAAACCACCGCAGCCACCAGCTTTTGAGAATCAAGACATTGTCACTCGCTTGACACACCTCGCCGTTCATTCTTACTTCATTCGCTTCCAGCAAAAGTCAAGATGTTCAACATTGCCATTCAACTCCTCGCAGCCGCGAGCGTCGTCCTCGCCTCCCCCGTCAACCTCCAAAGCCGTGCTGTCATCGCCCATGATGCCGTCGTTGGCTTCCCTCAGACCGTCCCATCTGGCATCGTAGGGCAGCTCATGCTGAAATACAAGCCCTACCTCAAGGTCGAGAACGGCTGTGTCCCTTTCCCTGCCGTCAACGCCGCTGGTGACACAGGGTAAGTCAACCCTAATTTAGAAAGTGAATTCTTCTAACACCCTCCAGCGGCGGCCTCCAACCCACTGGCGCCTCAAACAGCGGGTGCAGTTCCTCCCCCGGCCAAGTTTACGCCCGCGCCACCACCCACAACGGCGCCTACGCCATTATGTATTCCTGGTACATGCCCAAAGACAGTCCCGGTCCCGGTCTCGGCCACCGCCACGACTGGGAAAACATCGTCGTCTGGCTGTCCGCCCAGTCCACCACCGCTACTATCCGTGGCATCGCCATATCTGCCCACGGCGACTACGACAAGGTTACCAACCCTAGTCTTACTGGTACCAGGCCCAGGATTGGGTATAGGTCTATTTTCCCGGTTAACCATCAGTTGATTGAGACTACGACACAGGGTGGAGAGCAGCCGCTTATTGCGTGGGACAGCATGACGGCGGCGGCGAGGAGTGCGATTGAGAACACGGATTTCGGTAGTGCGACGCCGTCTTTCCGTGACAGCAACTTTGGAAACTACCTCGACGAGGCTTTCATTTGAGGGGTGGTGTAGATAGCAGTACACAACATAGCAATTCATCATGACATTTGCTCAGTTGAAACCACCACATGCCTTTTTCACCAATGTAGTGCTTGATTATAAAACTATCATTCATCTCATCAACCGTCTGCCACTAGCCCCCACCTCATACAAGAAAAAAGCTGAACAGGTCTAGAGCCTACATCGACGCTAGTTCACCTATCTAGTATGTTTACATGTTGATGTAGGCTGCAGGCCTGTTCGGTTTTTTCTCGATTGACGTGCCCCCTTCAACGTTGCAGCCTCCGTATCGGTTCACCTTCCAGAAACCAAGCGAGCTTATCTTCAACCAAGTCAAAACAATTGCCGAAGTCCAGATGCCATTACAAACTATTTCCATTCGTATAAACAGTCTCTATCGACCGCTACTAGAACTAAAGTCACGCCGAGCCCCACAGCATAGAATATGGAGGGTATACGGGCCGAACACAAGCGCCATCCGTATCAGCAAGCCACACGCATGAACCACCGCCTCACGGCTCAAGCCGAGTATCCAGGAGGAGGACCCGCCGGCGCTGTATACTCCGGCGGCGGAGCCTCACCAGCAGACGGTGCAAAACCTCCCGTACCCACATTCTGCTGCTGTCCGCCCAGCACCCTCCTAAACGCCTCTTCACGCGCCTGCTGCAGTTGTAACCGCGCATGTTGTAGCTTCGCCTTTGCCTGATCGACCTCGCCCTGTAGCCCCTTCTCCTGCGCCTCACGCTGTCGGATAATCTCCCCGCACTTATTCCCCGCACGGTCGACCTGCGCAATAGACTGCTTGACCTGATCGTGCATTTGCATATCGGAGAAGATGTTATCGAATACGACGTCGCTCCATATACTACCCATAGCGATGTTGAGTTGACCCAGCCCCGGTATCTCAGGCGCAACCTGCTTCACCTGCTGTTGTAGCATGCGCACCTGTTGGATGGAGCTCTCGGCGCGCTCGAGATAATTCCGCTTCTGCATGCTGGCCATCGTGCCGCCGCCAAACATGTCATATTGCGACATGCCGTATGCGCCGTCGAGGTGTTCGCGGGCGGCAGACAGCTTGACAGACGTCTGCCCGAGGAGGAAGAGGATATGGCGCTCTCGCTCGAGGCGCTGGGTCAGGTCTTGGACGTGCGCGTGTGCGGCGTTGCAGGCATCTTCTTTACGGTCTTCGTCGGGGAATTCGGGCGTATGGCCTGCGAAGATGGAGTTGTAGAGCGCGTCGAGGTCGGCTTGCAGCGCAGTGTGGCGTTGGGCTTGCGATGCGATTTCGTTCTTGCGCGTCTCGGCTTCGGCGCGGAGTTGTTTCGCGTAGGCGAGTTCGTCTTCGGCGCTCTTTTGCTCTTGGATCGCATCGAAGTACTCTTTCTCTTCTTTGGCGGCTTTCTCGGCGAACTTCTCCTTCTTTCCGCTGGCCTTGTGGGCGAAGCGGCGGAAGTGCGAGTCGCGGTACTTTTCGTGGTCTTTCAGCTCGCTGGCTGTCTTCTGCTTAAGGTCGTTGACGCGCTTCCTGATGTTGTTGATTTGCGCGTCGAGATCAGCGATGTAGGCGTTCTGCTGCTTGAGCTGTGAGGGCGCCGAATCTGTGTCCTCGAGGCCACGAAGGAGCTCCTCGTTCCTCTGCGCTGCCTGCTGGATCTTGTTGTGGATTGACATCGTGAAAAGTTACTACACTGGTAGTTTGTGAGTTGTGATGCGAATGCGATCGGAGGTAGCCTGATGCTATATATCTAGGAAGCAGCGAAGCACAGCCTACCTAATCGACTCCTTACGGCAAGAGATCATGGTGGTACTGCTTGGCAGTCGGCCTGACGGCACGAATATATGGCCTTGTCTTAGGTTATTGGGCGCCTGATTATGAACCAAACTTGTGTCCTCACGGTGGCTGGTGGTGTTGAAGCGGGGCAGATTCCAGACGTCATAAGGAGCAAGGCTGAGCTACCGTCCAATGCGGTCTAGTCGCATGTGGCGCAGGCCGCTGAGCCTCAATGCACTAAGGCGGCGTGGCAACGGCTATCTCGCATGTTGGATATCATGCTGGAATCCGGGGTGAACGATGATACAGTTGCAAACAGCAGCGTCTTCGTACAAGAGATGGTGAGGGGTATCTTCAGGTGGAGACGCACGGATGGCAAGAATAGCCGGCTTTCCTCCAGACGGAAGGAGGTGCCTAAGGACACCGCACCGTTGCTCAAAGCCCCACCTCGGACGCCGTGGCACAACTTCGGGTGTTTGGTGTAGCATCGGATAACCTCAAAAGCTCAACAGCGTCAAAGGAAAGCGTCCTCTTGACCTTTTGCATATCCATTGATTCTTGGCACGCCAACAACCCGGCTCCAACATGGCTACCGAAAAACTACAGACGTACTCGCAGAAGCCCCGCGTATTCATCTTGTCCGACATCTCGAATGAACCGGATGATGCCGAGTCGCTGTGTCGATACCTGTTGTATTCCAATGAATTCGAGACGGAGGGACTCGTAGCTTGCACAAGCACCTGGATGAAGAACAAAGTGCACCCGGAAGACATGGGGAAGATTATCAACGCATATGCCGATGCTGTCGACAACTTGAACAAGCATGTGCACCCGAACTGGCAGTATCCAACGGCACAACATATGCGTGGGTTGATTCGCAAGGGCGCCGAGGTAAGCTTCATTGGCTAGACGCAGCACGTCACGTGGGTAGCGCTGATGGTATCTAGACTTACGGAATGTCAGCCGTTGGCACAGACACTCCACTGTCTCCAGGCGGACAGCTGCTATACGATCGAATTGTCGCACCATCCACCCAGCCATTGTGGATTCTTTGCTGGGGCGGAACAAACACACTCGCCTCGGCACTGCTCAAAGTAGACGACGACTTCGAACCTGAAGACTCCAAGCGCTTACTCTCACGTCTACGCGTCTATGCCATTTCCGATCAAGATGATACGGGTGCGTGGATTCGCAACAACTTCCCCGATGTATTTTACATTGCTTCCATCCACGGCTGGAATCAATATGGTTTGGCAGCATGGACCGGCATTTCCGGCGACAAGTACTACGGCTTCGATGAAGGTGGGCCAAATTTCACCAAGATGGAGAAGAGTTGGATCAAGGAGAACATCCAAATCGGGCCACTCGGAAAGGCGTACCCTGACTATCTCTACATCCCGGAAGGAGATACCCCGACATTCCTCTACCTCATCCAAAATGGTCTGGGCGTACCTGACTGCCCCAACTACGGGTCTTGGGGTGGCCGATACGGACGGACTGATATCAGCACCGAAGGCCTCAATAGCAATCACTACAGTGATGTAGTGGATCGAGTCAAAGTTGGCGACAGGACGTACACATCCAATCATGCGACCATCTGGCGCTGGCGCGACGCTTTCCAAAACGACTTTGCCGCGCGCATCAAGTGGAGCATGGAGCCTGATTTCGCAAAAGCAAACCACCACCCAGTCATCAATATCAGCGGTTTCAAAGGCTTAGCGCCTGTCCAAATCACCGCTGAGGCTGGATCAAAAGTCACCCTCGACGCGTCCGCTACATACGACCCGGATGGCGGAAAACTCGCATTTAAGTGGTGGCATTATCGGGAACCCACAGCGACGCAATGGTTGGTTTACAGCGAGGTTGCGCAACTTGTGATCAAGAAGCTGGACGATGAGGGCAGGAAGGTCGAGGTCAGGCTTCCACCTCCGGAAAAATGCGCGGTCGATTTTTTGAGCAAGAAGCCGGTTGCTCAAGGTCAATTACTTCATCTGATACTTGAGGTCACGGATGATGGCACCCCGGCTCTGACAAGCTACCGGAGAGTGCTGATTCAGGCGACAAACAAGGAGTTGAAGGGAGGTGCAAAGAGTACTGGTTCTATTGGCGACGCGATGAAGAAAGCGTAGCATTTCTCGCAGGAGTAAAATAGTGGTATGCTTGATCGACTCGATCATGGCCAATCAAAAAGTACATCTTTCTTGGTGGCGACACTCGTGAGGTTGAGTTTTGGGCGACTAATTCGACATTCGGGTGACATGTGCGACACCGCAGCACGCGTCAAACTACTGAAGGCTGAACCAACAGCGTGGGTGTGTGAGTCGCTGTAAAAATCGCGGCGCGTTCATAGCGTACTGCAGACAGGAATTTGGTAGATGAAAGACCCTGGCGCCGGGCCGCTGACGTCATGACACACTGGCGCAGCGACTTACAACCACCAGTGACAGCCATCGGTCTTGTTACTGAAGGGTCGCGCCGAACGTAGAAGGGATAACCCTACATGCTGTAGCAACTACGTCTCGCGTTCCTGTGGTCAAAACAGGTTGTCGGCTGGCCACACACGTGTAACCACGGCGATCTCGTCGATCGTGCATGACGTAGCGTATTTGCACTTGAGCTGTCATACTAGCGTTGACCCGTCAAACCAGCCTCCTGTCTAGACTTGCAATAACATTGACTGATTGCGTCAGGAGGAAATACCACCAAAACAAACACAACAAAATCGAACCGAAGCCAGTCGATTTAACGAACCAAACATGGGAGAAGTTCACGTTGGTGGCGGACAATGCAACGTCCCCGAACATGAGATCAAGCAGAATGCAGGCGTGTCGGCGCAAATGGCGCTCCAGGCGGGACAAAAGGCGTGGGAGTTGAGGCAAGCTGCGCATGGAGCGGGCGACGCGAAAGCAAGAGAAGAAATTCTAGCGAAGGCGATTAATAAAGAAATTGAAGCAGAGTCATTCGGAAAGGCGGCAAAATATACACAGTCTGGTGCTTTCCAAGGTCTCGCCGCTGGTGCCGGATTGGGAGTGCAGCCAGGTGTCACCATTGGAAAGCTGACCGGCGCGCTCGTTGGCGGCACAGTATCCACAGTGACTGGGCTGCTGGGAGGAGGTATTGGATCGGTTTACGGTGCCATGAACGGCCCAATGTGGGATCTTGGACAGATGGCAAGTCAGGGTGTTCAGGGTGTTGTTGGCGACTTCCTACCAGATGTCAAGTCGACGCCATCGCAAAAGAAGGCCCTGGAGAAGATGGTTATGCAAACCAAGGACACGCAAGCACCGTCTAAAGAAGAGCTGGAACAGATGAAGAATGATGCGCCGGATATGATGCCGCAGACTTGGTCGCAGTCCGCAAAAGACATGACTGCGTGGAGACCGAGTATGCCGTCAGCAGTCAAGACCGCGGGGGCTGGAATTGCGGGAGTTGGAGCTGCGATGAACCCTTGGGGAGTTGGAGGTCAGCAGCAAGCTCAACAGCAAGGCTCATCACAGCCCAAGCAACAACCTCAGAAGCAAGCCCAACAAGCTCCAAGTCAACCCAAACAGCAGTCAAAGCCCCAGCCTCAGAAGACCTCTCAACCGAAGCCATCGCAGCCGAAGACAAATGGCACACAACCTCCAAAGCAAGAAAAGTCTCAATCCAACGACTCCTCCAAAGAACCACCCAAACCCCGATCCCAACGCCCACCAACAACCCGCGGCCCCGCAAACCCCCAATCCTCAACCCAATCCACCCCGCCCTCCCAACAAAAGCAGACACCAAACACACAACAAACATCGACCAAGTCCTCGTCACAGAAATCACCATCCACGGCGAACAAGTCTGCGAACGGGTCTGCTCAGCCGAAAAGGGTGTCGTTCAGTGATAATAAAGAGAATAACGCGCCGACTGCTGCGGAGAAACCAAAGAGGAAACCGAGGAAATTGGGGCAGCAGGGTGGTGGTAATGGGGGTAGTGGTGGAGGTGGTGCTGGGAATGGGGGTGCGGCGAAGAAGGCGCCGAGGAAGTTGGAGTCTAGGAAACCTGCTGCGGCTGCGTAGATGATGGATGTTGTGGAGGACGAGAGAAAGTAGCAGGCTGGCGGAGACATTGATGTATTGAAGGGCGTTTGAGGAGCAGAAGGGGTGATGTAGTCATAATACTTGGTTCGTATGTAGGTGTTTTGCATGCGTTTTCGGCGGATAGCGTAGCGATAGAATGGTTTTAGCGTGACACATGCATATTCACGAACAGTTCCATGCATGTGCAAGGCTCGCAGATTGGAGCGTATTGTCAGAAATACTGTGAGGTCATTGCTGTCTCCTGATGTCCGCCAGAGCATGGGCAAAATCACGTGGACGACCTAGTGTGTACTTTGGCGTAATGTGCAAGATAGATTTGAGGCTAGAATTATACATTGCTTTAGAAACTGACTACTTAACATGATTTGATGATATGTATTCTGCAAAGCTCTCTTGAAACGAGCATCCTTCAAGCGTACAAGCAGCCCTCGACCGGCTTCTGAACTGCTTTGTCGCTGAAAGAACAATGCCCAACTTGATCTTTGGTACCCTCGATTGTGACACCCCACTTCAATGGACGCTCGACAATATAATCTAGGTCTCCAGCCCTCCTACCATCCCTGTGCTTTACGTGACACGCCGCACTGATAACCGCACTGTTCGTGCCTCTGAGTGGCATGCCCGTCGGGAATCTGCAAAGACCGGCGATAGCCAGACAGACCACGACCATGAGACAACCCATAACAATTGCCGCGATGAGCGCTGAGTCTGAGAATCCTAGACTAGTCACCGAACAATTTTCACATGACAAATCTAGGCCCGGAAATGTCGTCACCAGTACACCATCTTTGTAGACAGCAATCCGTACCATAAACAGTGTTTGAGAGATGAACCAGTGCAGCAAAATGCTGGAGATAATGAGGGGTAGGCTGTACCTGAAGGGCAGGGAGAGGAAGTATGTAGAGCGTTGAGTAGACGTGGGTTCGGAAACGCGGAGTGCGGCTCGCTTGTATGCGTATCTTGCCCATTCGCGGTTCGCTAGCATCGCTGTGAAGACGCCGTTGTAGCTGTAATACAGCAACGATGCGATGGCTTGGGGCGTGTTGGCGAGAAGAACGTAGGGCATCACAGATTTGACACCGGGATATGGATCAAGGATGAATCCTAATGCCGCCACGAGTTAGCTCTCTGCATCAGGAGACAACAGGTTGATGTAGTAAGTTCTGAGTATCTCTTCTGAGGTGGACTAACCAGAATCGACGTTCCCGAAGCCATTCCACCGGCAGATTTCCCAAACACCGTCGTCATTCTTGCAATTCTTGGAGCGACTGCCAGCGAGGCTGTACATGTATATGGCGGAAGCGATTGCCGATGAGTATCTGCAGTGTGTCAGGTATGATGTTCCATAAAAGCTTGATATGAGCGTGATCTTACGAAGCGACCAAAAAGAGCCAGCGCTTGCCGCTGATGGCGCTATACCAACGGACGTGTCTGTCGGGTTGATATCGCTGGATTTGTTGCGCTTCCGATATCTTCCACGTTTGATTTATGTTGCGATTATTCATCAAGCAGCACCTTTTGGTTGTAGTGTCTGGTATTCGGATGAATGTGTCGATAGCGTCGCCCACTGTGACGATGGTTTCGTAATTCATCCACTTAAGCACCACGAACATGAGCACCAAGTGCAACACATTGCACGCAATGACAATATAAATAATGCTCTGACTGAGCTGTACTTGGCACCGCTCAGGTGAGATCTCACTCAGGCAATCTGTGGGACATGGTTGAGATTAATAAGATGAAACGCATGCTCGGATACATAGATAAACTTACACGAGACCTCGCTAACAAAGCTGTTATCAAATGTGAGCATTCCAGGGCTCATATAGAAATCTACGAGCGAGCCGGTGTCGTTGGAATCGCTTGATGAGTCCATCGGTATAATAGCGAAGCCATTGCCGACCTTTAACAAGGTCGTCTGGTACCGGTGAAAGCACTCGGTAGCAGAGATATTCTCAAAGCGAGACGCATTCAAATGTTGCTCGCCCAGAAGTGTGTCCTGTAAGGCTTGAAAGTGGGAACTGTATCTCTGGTTTCCGCCCTCGAGCTTCCACCCTCCCCTCGTAATGAGGAAAGCTTCGTGTGCAAACACAAAGTCGATGTCGTTCGTTGCGGTTGTCTGGAATATAACCGAGTTGTACCTTTCTTCATTTAGCAAGTCTACTCTGCAAATCTAAAGCGGCACTAGGGGGAGCTAGGATTCGTGACGCACTCTGCAGTATACATACCTTCAAATGTTAACAACTATGCGATTTCTAAGACGATGTAGACTCTCGCTGTAAACCATTTTTTCGTAGAATGCGACACGATTCCTAGCCGCCTATTATGGCGGAATGTACTCACAGGAAATGCAGAGGTATGCTACTTATAGCAAGCGATAACCAGACAACCTGCCTTCTCTTACTGATATTTGGTAGGTTTCTCAGGCTCAAGACTCCTACATTCAGGAACTTGCCCATTCCATGGGCTTCGTCAATTTCGTCTCTCGTAGGTGCCCCAAGTTGTTGTAAACAATAACTTGACGCACTCAACAAGGAACTGCTCAGTATATTAATGAGTAGTTGTAGACCTGTTGTCAGACGAGACGCAAAGACGCATTGACCTGTATAGATCGTAGCGATTCCGTCCTGTGGCTTACCGGCCGCAGCAGCTACTATGGCGCATACGATGTTGAAAAGGAGGACCAGTGATGAGCCAACAATGGCAAGAACGAACCCACCACGCCAGCCGCTGAATCTGGCACGTCGCTTGTAGGATAACGAAAGTCTGAAAGTAAGGGAAGATAAGAGAGTATTCGGAGAGTAGTACATCTTATATTTTGACACTACCTCATGTTGGGCGATTGGATGGACGTAGGCCATTATGTATCTATTGCTTGACTCGCGTATGCATGCATCGCCGCCAACGCAGCCCTTATGGACCAAATATGGAACAAGTCGAAGGAAGATCGTACATTTGGAAGTAAGCGTTTGCTGCATTGAGAAACCTAATTAATACGCACGAATCCTTTGTGGGGGCCAAGCATGGGGCTGCTCATCGAAGCCATATGTGCTTGGTGAGCA